CTCAGGCTGACCGCGCTGGTTCTTTCCTTTTATTAGCTGCACTGGGAAGAACCAGAAAGGTTCACGGAGATCCTGGCGAAGATCGCATGAGCCCGTGAATGAGTAGACCTCGGTTCAATTATCATGTTGAATGAAACCTCACTGTCGGAGACCCTCAGCATATTCTATGTTTATCGGGTGCACCAAGTTGCGGAGTGCGCTCCGTATTCGCCATCTGTTGAGCCGGCGTTACATAAGCCATCATAAAGCGCCGACAATAGGCGCCGATGGCAGCGACATTGTAAGCCGCAACGGTGTACACGACCTGCCGGTGCGCGAGACTTAATGATTACTGTTGCGAATGAGTCGAGCAACCGGTCCGTCAGGTGCGAGTCGGAAATTTCCTTATGCTACAAGTGGAAGCCTGTTGATTCCCGGCGGTTGTATTACTCCATATCTTTTCATCATAACATCGGCACTCACTTACCACATGCACTCAAGTACTCAGGTACCGACACGGAGGAGGTCGTTTCTGCGACGCAAGCGCATCACGCACAATCGGGAGTACGTTCTAATTTAGCCCTAGATGCATCAAAGTCTCCAGGAGGCGAGTTGCTTGCTGTCTTTGTACAAATACAACGACCTCCTAAATTGGCCAACTTGACTCTGGCTAATCCACGACAGAAATTCCGGTGTGGTGGTGAAGACAATGCGCAGAACATCTGGATGCGGAAAATTTGCATCTCACTCGCATTCGCGACTTCATATGTATAAAAGCCACTGAGCGGCATGATGATCCAGTGCCAAACTCCGCTGGTCCCGACATGCAGCCCCAGCTGCCCAACGAGCTCGTTGACATGATCTTCGACCTCGTCTGGCGCACGTTCATTCCCACCATCTCTTACGACCCATCCCGCTACAGCTCCCCCAAACAGCACGCCCTCGAAGCAAGGCTCCGCTGGTCCTCCTTCGGCCGTCTCTGCCAGGCGTCGCGCCAGTTCAAGGCTATCGTGGAGGACCTCGCACGTCGCACCATCATCATCGAGTACGAGGAAGACTTCACGATGCATCACAAGCTCGCTTCGGCTGCCCTGAATCGGGAAGGTGCTCCTCTGCTCACAGAGCTCTTCATCACCATCCCGTTCCTCCAACAGACAGAGCTACCCCCAGCCGTCCTCCTTCGTGAGCGCATCTTCGACTTCATGGCCACCTGCCGCTCCCTCTCCGTGCTCCTCAACCGCTCGCACGTCTCCAAACCCGGCTTGTGCGAGATCCAGCTGGCGTTCGACTGCCTCTCCCGGGCCCAAGGCGCTTGCCGAGACGTCCACCTCGTTTGGCTGCACCCCCACCGCGCACGGTTCTGGCTCCCGACCACCCTCGTACCCGCGCCCGCCATCCTCTCCCCCGCCGCCTTTCAAGGCGCCGTCACGCCGCAGTACCCCGGGGTCCGCTCCCTGCGCCTGGCGAACTACCCGCGGTGCACGTGCCCGTGCGTCGGCGGGCAGCGCGGTGGGGCCGGCGGCGCCGGGCACGTCCCGCGGTGCCTCTCGCACCTGCTCCCGACGCTCTTCCCCGAGCTCGAGCGCGTCCACTTCGAGACGCCGTGCTCGCTCAAGCACGTCGTCCTCCCCCCGGCGGTCGCGCGCCTCGAGATCGACGCCCCCGCCCCAGTGCGGGCGCGCGAGCGGGAGCCTGGTGTTGTGGAGCTTGGCTTCCGCGGTGAACGGGGGGCTAATGCGGATGCAGGTTGAGGAGGAGGATTGGGCGTGGAGGAAGAAGCTTATTGTGGTGAACACGGGCCCGCTCGAGCCCGACGGATGGGCGGTGGCGATGGCGGCGTGCGAGAAGGCGGGAATCGGGTTAGAGCGCCGTGCCGTGTACAAGATAGGATCTGGGACCACGATCGAAGCTGTACAATGAGGCTCGCGCTGGTCGGTTTGCGCAGTGTCATCAGGCCATTGTTCATCCGACGGGAGCACTAACGAACACGAAGAGGATAACTAGATTAATCGAATGTTATGAGTAATAACCTAATCCGACTGCTTCTGCCGGGATGCGCTAACGATACAGTAGGATTGCGTCCGCGTTCGGGCCAGCGAACGCGCCGACTTGCCATAAGGAGCGTGGATGTTGATCGATTCTTCGTGCCCCAACTAGTTCTCCCTTCTGGCTAGCCTAGTAGATTCCCTTTCGTCAGCTCACCATATCGGCTATGTATAGAAAGCTCGAGCATTACACACCCGTTGTTGATGGCGATGATGGAAGCAACCTCGTCGACAGTGTAGTGGGTCGTGGGTCGAAGGAACTCGTTGCGGCTCGCGAGGAAGTTGCTCAAAGAGAACGTGCACAACGCGGGGTACCAGCCCGAGTGTCCCGTCTCCGCGCGGTCCCCGTCAGCATACAGGACGACGGCCGCCTCAGAATCCGGCTCCTCCAGAGTGCGACCCCAGATGCGTCGAGCCCACTTGACCTGCAAGCCCCGGCCGCCTTCTTCTGAAGGGGTGATGCGGAGCCCGATGACGTGTGCCTTGTGGTGGCATCCGACCAGCTTCGAGTACCGGTTCATCTGCTTAGTCGGGTCCTTCGTGACCTTGTCCTCGACAGAAAGAATGATCTGCAACGGCATCCCGTCGTCGGCTCGAGTAGTGACGAGGAAGTCAGGGATGCCGACGCGGCGCCGACCGTCCGCCTTGAGGCCCATCCGGAGCCCGTGCTTGTCGTGAGTGTAGCCGAGGGTTGAGCCCACGTCAGGGAAACCCCCAACTCCTAATTAGGACTATTTAGCACTAATTAGACCAATAGTCAGGAATAGTTGATTAGGTCTATTTAGAAGTCCCAAAAACTAATCTAGTCAAATAGACAGGGATAGTCATAGGTGTAGGCAAGCATTAGTTCATACATCTAGACATAGTAGGGCAGCTCATAAATAGTTCAGATTAGCGGACCAATATCAGGGACAGTCACACAGATAGAGAGGTAATGAGAACGAAATATATTGGCAATGACGACTAGACTACACAAAGTATTGTACAAGACAACCAGCTATTTACAGAGATCAGTGCGCACACGGGGAAGGCAGACGAGGCGGGCGAGGGGTAGACGGGCAGGATGGGAACAACGTGGGTGACGCGTGAATGGCGCATGCGAGGTAGACATGCAGCCAACATGGGAACGACGTGAGCGACTGGGCAGCCGACAAGACGTGGACGTGGGCGAGGTGGGTGGACGAAGAGGACGGGGGCGTGAGCCAAGTGGGTGGGGCGGGCAAGGTAGACGAATGACATCGGGGACTTGGGTGACGTGGGCGAGGCAGACGACGTGAGCGAGGTAAGAACGAAATAGGCAAGCGTCGCACGCCGCGTTCCTCCAGTCCCTCGGCGCGACGCACATCGTCGACCACGCACTCCCCATCCCCGAGCTCCTCGCCGCGGTCTCCGCCGCCGCTTCGAGCGCGCCGGTGTCCTTCGCGTACGTCGCGATCAGGATGGAGGACACGCAGCGGCTCGCATACGCCGTGCTCGGCGACCGCGGCGGCTTCGTCTCGGTGATGCCGCGCGCGGGCCCCGAGGTCCTCGCGCCAGTGCAGAGGGAGGGCGACGGGAAGCCCGTCGCGCGGCCGTTCGCAAGCTTCCAGATGCCGCCGAATCAGGCACTGGGCGTCGGGGTGGACAAGCGGCTAACGGGGTGGCTCGCAGATGGGACAGTGAAGCCGAACTGGGGCGAGTGGACGAGAAGTCAGCACGTAGAAGAAGCGGAAAGAAAGTTAGAATGGCGGAGGGACGCACAGCGGGTGGGCCAGGAGCTGGGGACAGTAGAGCTGGCCGCCGGAGTAGGAGGAGCACGCGGACGAGGAGGTCGCGCCGACGACGGAGTACGCGCCAGGTGTCGAGCACTGCGAGCAGCTGCCCGCGCTTACGTGGTCGGAGTAAAAGCCGGAGCAGCTGTGAGTACACACGCACAGAGCACGGTCCATCGAAAAGAACGTACCAAGAGCAGCAGGCGGACGCACCCTCCAACGAGAACTGCCCCGCAGGGCAATCCTCGCACCGAGCCGCGCCGTCGCCTGGCTGGGATTACAGGTGGGTGTATCGACAACGCAGGAGCCCGAGTCGTAGTGGGCAAGCGGGCGATATACGAGACAGCGACAACGGCTGCACAGCATGGCCGCACCGGTGGAACGAGCTTCGTTGGGACGTGCTCGTGGTGGGGACAGGGTTCATGGTGCGGCCAGGGCCTGGCAAGGTGGTGGGCAAGATGGGGAGCGCAAGAGGGCAGAACGAGGGACTCACCAAGACAGCTCGTCGCGGCGGGCAAGGGGCGTGCTCGCGTGCTCCTCGAAGATGTTGCATCAGGACGAAAAGACGCGGAGGACGGGGAGGACGGGGAGAACGGGGAGGACGGGGAGAACAGGGAGGACGGGGAGAACGGGGAGGACAGAGAGGGTGCCAGCACAGACACGCTAGTAGCAGGCGCTGCCTCTGGAGGCGTGGGAATCAACGCGTGTCGCGTGCACTCCCGCCCTTGGCACTGCCAGCAGCGTCCTCGTCGTCCCCTTGACGTTGCCCTCGATCCCCTCCACCTGACTCCCGTCCTCGCCGCCCCGACGCCAACCCTTGCCCCGTCTTCTCCGATGCCGCGTACCGAGCCCAACTGCAGGGAGCACGACGTGCACTGACCCCTCTGCTCGAACTGCCCGCATCGCCATGTCGCCCACTTCGTCCGTCTCGCCTGCCTGGCCCGTCTCACCCGCCTCGTCCATCTCGTCTGTGTCGCCCACCTCGCTCGCGTTACCCCAGATCTCGCCTGTCTTGCACTGTCTTGCACCCGCGATCTCGCTCATGCCACCCACGTCCGTCGCCACCTCCGCGACGCCCGCATCTTGCCCCTCTGAGCCTACGTCTCGCACCTCGACCGCGTCCCCTGCGTTGACCGCGCGATTGCATCCCCTGTGTCACCCACCTCGCCCGCCTCGCCCGGCTTGTGCATCTGGCCCATCTTGCCCACCTCGCTCGTCTTGCCCTCGCCCGCCTCGCCCACACCCCGCCGTGTTGCCCCTTCGCCCTCGCCTGCCCTACTCACATCGCGCTTACCTGCGTTTGTCAATCCCGCCTCTCGCTCGTTGCTCGTCCCGCTCTCCTTGCTCGTCCCGCTCTCCTTGCCCGTCCCATCCGCCTCGCCCATCTCGCCCGCGTCGCACTCCCGTCTCGCGTCATCTATTTCACCCACTTCATCCTCGTCGCCTGCGTCTCACCCCTGCGTCGACATGTCACCCACGTCTCGCTCCTGTGTGACTGCGCGACCCGCCTCGTCCGCCCACGTTGTCTGCGTCCACGTCGCCCTCGCCCCCACCCACGTCGTGTTGTGTGTGTCCGTGCCGCCCTCCTTGTCTGTGTCGCCTCCCTTGCCCGCGTCTGCGCCCGCGTCCACGACCCGCCTCGCCCGCGTCTGCATCATCCATGACGCTTACCTCACCAACCTCGCTCTTGCCTGTGTCACCCGTCTCGCCCGAGTGGATGTGTTTAGTGTCTTTGTTCGTAGTCTACTGTGTACCTTGTAGTGTAATGAACACATATTTGCTTCTCCTTCACGTTTTTGTGATCTATTGATTGTGTTGGTAGTTCTGTGGGTCTCCGGAGATGCAGTAGTTAGTCACTGGTTAGACCCTGTGCTAGGTGTGTGCATTCCGACTAGACAGCAGTGTCCAGTGATAGGTGAAGTAATAGTTGCAGATAGATATATTATATGAGAAGCTCAAGCACTAGTATCCCTTTAGTACCTGTTAGAAGGGTCAAAACTCAGTAGTCCCATTAGTGAAGCGATAGCACTAATATTATACTTGATAGTACTAATTAGGATTTTGGGGTTTTCCTGATGCATACCGCTCTTCGAAAGGTCGGCACTGAGAGAGTTCTGCGGCCTGTTGAAGGTGGACTCGTCCCGTACGCCACTGGTGTCGCGCGCGGGAGAGGGGCCACCCGACAAGCACGGTGCTTCAAAATAAACCGCAGTCTGAGGGAACTTAGAGTCGCGATCGAGATGAACACGCTCATTACCATCCCTGAAGGTACTGGCAATGGGAGTGGGTGCTTCATTATGACCTGTTATGACACCTTTGATATACGTCACGGCATTCTCCTCCATCAAGAGGCAACACTCACTGTAGTTTGCTTGGTGGACACGAGGGTGGGTGGGAGGCGTGCTCGAGACGGGGTTAAGCGCCTCAGTACGATTTTTGGCAACACCTTTGACAGTGACAGTGATTCAGCGAACAAGTACGAATGCAATGTAGCACTCACCATGAGATGCTTCATACGACCGAAGCGAAAAAAGCGGGGTGCTTGATACAGAGAAGTCCGGAGCCGCGGCAAAGGCTGCTCTCAAGGGAGTAGAGTATACCCGAGATTGGGAGGGCGACGTGCGAAAGAAGGACGGCTCACCGCCGTCTGAGGCCAACATCGCTGCTTCCTGCGCTGTGTCTCGCCATCTAGGAACAGCTAGCACCAGGGGTTCTCCCGCGCCATTCACGTCTGTTGATGCGACACGATTGGCTGCCTCGGGAAGTCTGGCCTTGGGAGCTACACCGAAGCAGAGATAGGCTGTATATATGCAGACGAGAAGGCCATTAGCGAGCTCATCCACGTCGCACTCAAATTTGTCATCATCGATCGTGATCTCGGTGCAGCCCCTGATAATCCATACCGGGATAGAAGCAAGAAACTGTTCAACAGTCTGGCCAAGATTTGTCACTTAAGAGTCGGATCACGAACCATAAATCAAACACACCTGAGAAAGCAATTTATGGAGCCCCTTCTCCTGTATGCTCACAACCGTTTCCTGCAAGTTTCCAGATGACGTAGAAGGAGCACTGTTATCAGCAGACAAACTAAAAAGCGCCCGAGACGACTCGGAACGTGCATCGGTGGATGAGACCGAAATTTCCTTGCCGCAAGAGCATATTCGGAGCAACTGGTTCACTGTCGCGGATACAGGGAGACGAGTATCCTCGTCGTTGGCGCGAGACGTGCGCTGATCGTCGATCTGATCCTGTGGTCAACGAATGTGCAACTTGGACTTCAGATACGCGCATAGAAACCTTTGACTGGTGCAACGCACCAGGATCTTCAACAACTCCTTAGAGTGGATCATCATTGCTTCCACTTGACCCACTGCTGGATGGCGTTTGCTAGATCGTGTGTTGCTACCACCAGATTCGCGAATCAGCAATTGCTCTGTTAGGCTGAACGGCTTACCGTGAGGAACCCTGCACGAAATGTTCTCAGTGTCTTCCGTGAAAAAGTTAACGGATAGAATGAGAATTTCAACGCACCAGATTGGACCTGCACGTTGTGAGGAAACCGCTCAGGAGCTCGGCTTGCTCGCGTATAGCAAGCAATAGCTTCGCACTCTGCTCTTCGGCTCGTACGGCGGGCTCAATAGTATGGACCTGGGGCTCATCGGCGAGTGGTTGAGCTTCTGTGTCTTCCACAACGGTGTTTGATGTGGATGCATGAGACGACGGTTCCTGAGGGCTGGTGATTGAAACCGGAATTAGCGGAACGGCGGTCCAATGGAGCAGATGATGTGTGCGAACGACTGGGAGATGTTTACCACCCGATTTCGCTTTGAAGAAGGATCGGAATGGTTGTTTGCCTTGCGCTTTCCCATGGCGAGGAATAGAAGGCAGTGGTGACTCGTGAGAGAGCCTGTGCCCGGCGAGAGTGGGGGATTGATCGACAGTATCAAGAGGATGTTAATCAGCGAGAGGCGGATATATGACAGAGTATAATAATTGTCAAAGGATAGCGAGCGGGATTGAAATGAAAGCAAGCACAAACGAGAGGGTGGTCAGCCGGAACTTGGGACAGAGTGGTTGGCTGCACGGGAGGAATGCGGACCGTGGCGGCTGCAGGGAGGAAGCACCTGGACGCAGAAGTCCGCATCTTCGTGCATATATGTTGCGAGGAGAACAATGAGCCCGGCATTTGGCCTGGAAAAGTTGTTCAGAACAAGAGGGCCACAGCGACATCAGCAAAAGGTGTTTTTAACGGTAGCGCCCGATAGCACGCGACACTGCCATATCGGGACAGGTCGTCTATTGTCTGCGCGACAAGTGATGGTAGCAGAACGGTAGCAGCTGGCATTCATTCGTCTTTACTATGAGGTTCGATCAAATATTGTGGCCGCAGACAGGATATGATGGATATACTACAGGCACAAGTAGCTTGAACAGAAAGCTGTAGTCGATGATAGTAAACGATCATGCGCTCCTTCAAGGGTGAATCACGGGGCGCGCGGGGTGCATAAGAGGTTCGTATTTAGCTATACGGTCGGCTCGTGAGGACGCGAACACTGCGCGCGGCAGAGAACGCGATGCGCGCGACGATATGCGGACGGACGTCAGCGCAGGCGCCTGTTCCGCTTACGCGCCGCGCGCGGAGTCCTCTGTCCGGCATCGATGGCGAGCCCCATCCTCTGTTCCCTTAATCTTTCTTGACGCCTTTTATCCCTTTCGTTGCTCTGTTTACATGCGAGCGCGAGCTTGTGAACTGGAGCAAGGCCTACTCTGCGGACCACCACCACGAGAGTCAGCGGAGCGCTCTGTTTGATGCTCTCATTGTCACGAGCTGCGCGGCAAACTCTCGCACAGGGCACTGGGCGAGGGGTCGAGAGTTAAGTCAAGATATATACATCCACGACGGGCAACGGCCCAGCTTCGGAGCCCAAAAACGCGTAGACAAAGCCTATCAAAGGTGTCATTTTCGGCAGGTGTTTTTCCAGGGGAGAAAAAGGGTGGGAAAGGCGAACTTTTATGTCAAGTTTGTGTATGTCGCAGAGTATCCTGAAAGGTGACGTTTTGGGCGAATGTTTCGGCCCGACAGAATACTATGCTCAGAACAAAGACATTATAATTCGTGGTAAAGGCAATAGAACGTGTATACTATGTGAGTAACAAACAAGTTAGTACGAGTGATAAGTAACGGGTGTTATTGAAATGGGCACCAAAGGTCTCTTTATCGATCCTTTTCGGCACCCCGTAAAGCACCCGGAAAAATTGCCCATTTTAGTGCCTTTTTCACACGCGCACAAAAGGCGGCAGAAAATACACCTTTGACAGGCTTTTTCTACGCGTTTTCGGGCTCCGAAGCTGGGCCGTTGCCCGTCGTGATCGCTGGGGCCCGAGACGTACAGAGGTCCGTGTTAGTAGCGATATTCTGAAGTCTAAAAGTTGCTTGCAGTGATTTCTTTGCTAATTGTTGTGACCCGATGCGGCGGCGCCGCAGTGGCGTCCCGCTTTGGCCTCTCTAACAATATCCAGACACGGGCGCGTGTGCTGGGTTGCGCGCCTACTGGGCTTTATCTGCGACCACCATCATCCCCCAAGCGCAATGTGCCACTCACACTCGCGCGCGATGTATCAAGACACGGTCAGTTCTTCCTCACCCATCAGCATAGGCTCGCTCACATACACACTTCTGTCGACATCGACATGGCTTTAACACCGCACTCACACCGGCGAAAACCCGCGCCCTCAAGACTGCGGGTACAAAAGTACGCTTGAGTACTTACGTTGCTTATGGACACGGGTCGGTCACATGTGAAGCCTGATTCCTCAGCCTCGCCGACAGTTTCGATGCGGCGCCGCGCGCTCCCATGCGAGCCAGCGACCCAACACTGACCATTTGCTTGCCACTGGGGATTCAAGGCGATGTGGAGGTGGTGCGGCAGCCACCGGCTCCGTGGGAGCACGGTGTACAGGTATGTCTTCAGAACGTCCGAGCGCAGCAGGCGAGCAGGATATCACGGTGTACCGCATGGTCGAGCCCGCGCATCCTGAGCTCCTGCTGCTAGATCTGCGCGCGACCGCTTCCGGTAGGCGTTGCTGAACGCGCGCGACGCGTCCGCCCCGAGCAGCCACCCGTTCTGCAGAGGCAGCAGCTCACTGGTTTGTGTTCCTCTTCCTTCTCTACCGAGATCAGTTCTACAGCCGCTCATTCCACCAAGTCCACAGCGGCCTCGACCGACGAGTCACAGTACTCGCACTTCACCTGGGCGATTGCCCCGCGCAAGCAGCGGTCTCGAGTCGGCCCACATGTCTGTCTCCCACGACTACGGTGTCCTCATCGAGGACGAGGGGATCGCCCTCTGTGGGCTCCTCATTATCGACCCTATAGGGTACCCTCAGGTACGTCCTTGATGGAGCGGCATACGTCCGGGAATCACGACTGATTGTGCGTTCGGTGGAGCTGGAAAAGTAAATTACGATCAACGACCTCCCCGTGGGCTGCTCTGTCGAGGGGACGATCCGGCTCGTGAATGCATTCCAGTCCTCCCGGGTGCGTCTCTCTTCCTCCGCGCTCCCTGTGGCCGTTCCCGCTGACTTCTCCTCCCTCCCTCCCCCTTCCCCGACGCGACCATCCACCTCTCCACGCCCAACCAATTCACCCTTTCGCGCCCATGGTGCCCCTCCATGCCCGATCTGTCTATCTTGCCGCGCTCAACCGACCTTTCCGCGCTCTCCACATTGATTTCTCTATCAGGTAAGCAATCCCCAGATACAAGTTTTCTACATTACTGACCACTCCGATAGTACTCACAATAGGGAACACTCCGTCAATTCGGGGAGATGTGCTGGACGAGAGGCTTCAAGCTCGGCCACATCGCCGACCATGTAAGTTCTTTGTTCTGCTCATGTTTCCGTTGCGTAGAATACCGGCTGTTTCGTATTTACCCCGAATGGATTATTGTGCGATTGGAATTATACGTGCGCCCCTGTGTGCGACGGAAGGCGATAGTGTTCCGCAGTTATCTGTCATCTCCTCCGCTAAATCTGACACTTTATCGTGAGGTGCTATCATTTCATGCGCCGCAGATGACCGATATATGGTCGCACGCGCACCCAGAAGTGATAGCACTGTCTGCGAGGTACGATCATCATTTGATAGTGGAAGAAGCAGACGATAATACACCATGAGTTACTGTAGTACTTGGATGCTCAGCTACTGTCTATTTTCTTCGCTATCACTAATTATCGTACGCTACGAATGCCCTCGTCCACTATCAGACGCTACCGTTTCCGCGCCCATTTTGCTGATGGAGGTCCGCCGTGGTACGAAGAAACGGAGCGCCGTTCGGCGGCCCGGCAACCCGCACACACGTGCCAGCGCCTACACGTATGATTCGAACATCGGCGTCTGCAGCCGCCTCAATCTCCACCTACCTTGACGTCTTGCCACTCATCCCCACGTCCCCTCCTCAATCTCACCACGATGGCTACTATGACTGTCACAGGACCTGCGGTCTGCAAGATTCACTTGCGGCCCCCCACACCAGAAGTCGTCTTCTTGGCCGGATACGTCTTCTCCCTCACAGCAATCGCCCACCTCTGCATGAAGGCCTATGGCATCCCGGAGGAGACCATTTACCGGGTAGGACCTCTCCAAGCTGCCAACGAATACCTCAAAAGCTACCTGGATCTCGACAGCCCTCAATTCATTCCCTTCGATTGCGATCAGTGCCGCAACCAGTGTGACCCCGCGCTGAAGGGGCGCTTTATACTCCCCTGCCACCTTGCGTTTGTTGATCAAGGAATGAAGCGTCCCGACATTCCCCTCGACGCCGACGCGAAGGCTTATCTTGACTACTGGTACCCGCCTTCTCTACGAAGACTCGAGCACTTTTCGGACGTCAATTTCATAGTCACCCGGTATCCTGCACACCACGGACGTGCGTACCGGTCGTGTACTCATCATATCACCTGCGTTCTGATCGCTGATGAACGCCTTCCAGCCAGAAGGATGATCCATGTGAAGGCAGGGGAGTACCAGTTGATCCACTTGTCGGGCCAGTCCGACGAGATGATTGTGCAAAGCGCCGTTGAACGTTTGAAGGAAGATGAGGATCATGGCTATCCGGCTTCGCTACTCGTGAGTCTCACTTCCGTTTATTGTAATGGCACGCACTGATAGTAGTAGGGCCCGACGCTTCCTGCCAAGTATATCTTCCGCACGTTGACGACCTCCTCTAAAGGACTTCGGTCCCGCAAACGTTCAGTCAGTGCTTCCCTTTACTATGTGCATTTGCTATACTCATAATGGCCACCGTCTGCAGCGCGAACCTTGGTCCCCGTACAAGCGTCCAGAGTCGCGACGACGTTCGTGATTTCATTTCATCAGGGTCCGCATGTCCCTGCCATTTATTGTTATTACATATCTTTATTTGTCTTGAACGCGTTCTTCGATTCGTTTGTATTGCATATTGGCATACCTGCGTTTGCTCATCGATTACCTACCGACCCCGTCCTCTGCCCGGAGCGTTATCCGGCGCCGTGATAGCTGAGTACGTCGCGCTTGTACCCATCGTTTGCACCCCCATGAGCTTAAATTTTGCCTGTGCAGTGGCGTGACCGCGCTCGCTGACGCGACTACGCCTCACGATTTCCCCACACCTTGCCGCCCGCGCGCTGCTCTTGAGATTCACATTCGTACTCCTTGTCAACCTCAGGTGCGCACTGGAGCTGGGGTACGATCAAGGGATCGAGTCCGAGTCGTCGGTACCCCGCACAAATGCAATGTCCTTTAGACGCAAGAGAGCGCGGTGACGGTCTCACTCACACTCGCGCCTGCGCTGGGCCCGGAATAGGGAACGCGCGGGCTCGTCGGCGGTGATTGTGTTACTTACGCTTGTGGTGAATAGATACGTCCGCAGTTCAAATTAGTTGACGTCCTCCTGTGTCCTGCACTCGGGCGTTCTTACTGTGCTCTGCCCCAATGTTGACGCGATATTATAGTCCTGATTATGCTTGCGTTGACGAAGACGAGCCTGCTCTTGACCGTGCCCCAAGTTGCGCAACGAGGGAAGCATCCCTCGCTCTCCAGCGCGTTGACTCCGGTTGGCGCGGCGTTCTCACGTCTCGTGCTCTCGATGTTCAATATGCTTCAGTCAGGTCCAACGCTTGCTGCTCAATATACCTTACGCAAGTTGACAACATCCTCAAGAGCACTTCGCGCCCGGAGCCCCTTGGTAAGTCTGCATTTCGTCCATATCAAATCCTTCTCACTCGAACTCTCGTCCGCAGTGGTTACCTTGTCAGGTCCCCATATCAGCGCCCACAGCCGTCACGATACTCATGGTTGCAGGTCTTTCTCGTCTCGTCTCTGCACGGGCGGTGGAGGGGTGCGGTACAGAGCTGCTGGAGACGAGACAAGATCTTCCTACCACATATTGTGATTATATTGTTATTTGATTTGGATGGCTCAGACGGTGCACTCCTGTTCACCGTGCTTCCCTTTCGCGAACCTTTGCTGTCTCGTTTACAAACTACTCCGCCCTTTGCACCACAACACAAACAAAAAATCACAACGAGGTATGGTGAATGGCAAATATCTCCGAGAAGTGGGAGGTAAAGGTGGCGGTGGTAAAAGTACGTCACAGATCACGTGTCTAGCCCTCGTTAGGCGAGCGTCGTCTGCAGCGCCAACTCGCACGGCGAGCGGCATTCTTGTCCAACGTCGTGATGCTTCACCATCCTGCTCTCATCTACCACCACCGCTCTCTCGGTATTTCTTGTTCTCTTCTGCACAGAGAGCTCACTCAGCATCTGCATCCAACATCGAGCCTGAGGTCTTTCACTCTGAAACATCGTTCGGCGCGCTAGGCTTACCGGAATGGCGGGATTTCTCGCGCTTGCCATTATGGCAATCCTGTTGGGAGCGGCGTCGTTTGGAGTGGGGATGCTGCCGCTCGCGTTCGCGTTCTCCAGTGAGTCATCTATCCGGATTGCTGCTCTCTTTTCGCCGACGTCGTGCACAGAATCCTCCCTTGCATCATTAAGCACATATGGATCCGGGCTATTACTCGGCGCCGCACTAGGTGTCGTTATTCCAGAGTACGTCGCGCATATACCCGCCCCTTGCACGCGCGTGGACTCGTTTTTGCCACTCCAGAGGTGCTGCGGCACTCGCCGACGCAACCATGTCTCCGGACTTCCCTACGCACCCCACCGCCCTTGCGCTCCTCCTGGGGTTCACTTTTATGGTCCTCGTGGAGAGCCAAACATCTGGCGCACACGGGCACTCACACGCCCCGCTCCGTCAATCGGACCCTCAAACCGCGACATCCACCGTAGAGTTCGACGTTGAGCTCGGAGAGCTGGAGCGTGAACACGGCATCGACCCGGAGCCGTCGACATCGGTCCTTCGCGCGAGCGCACAGGAGAAAGAAATGCAGGGACGCGCAGTCGCGGCGGTTCCGCTTACGCTCGGGCTCGTTGTGCATGCCCTTGCGGATGGACTCGCGCTGGGCGCGGCCGCGTTCTCGGATGGGGCCCGCGCGCGGTCGTCTGCGACCGTCGTCTTTCTTGCGCTCGTCGTGCATAAAGGTGCGTTTATGGTTCGGTTGTATCCTCCCCCGTCGCTATTTCAGCCTCGTTCGCCCTCTATTCATGCTCGGCGCGATGACGCTAACTTCGCATGATAGCCCCGACCGCACTCGCGCTCACGACGAGCCTGCTCTCGACCGCACTTCCAGTCGCCCAGTGCCGCAAGCATCTGGGGCTTTTCAGCGCGTCGACTCCGGTCGGCACAATCCTTGCATACACCGCGCTCTCGTTCTTCGGCACACAGGGCCGCGGGCACTGGCCGGGGCTTGCGCTGCTATTTTCGGTGCGTTCACCATTTCCCTTGCTGCGCTTCTCCGCACTGATACCGCGTCATTCCCTAGGGCGGTTCATTCTTGTATGTTGCGGCGGTACTTCAGCCCGCGCTAGCAAACGGCCAGGCGGGCGCCGAAGGGCTCGGAGCTCGCAGAAAGTTGGTGTTGACGATCGCGGGGATTTTGACGCCATTCGTTGTGGCATCCCTGGTCGACCACGGCCATGAGCCATGAAACTGCTGCTGCGTATATCCGGGCGGGGAGCATATATATGGGAGGGGCTCCGCCACGCATCGCTTTTATGTAACGCCGACGGCCGAGCAACTGCGATCGGGTGGGTATGTGAAAGTGATAATGGCGGCGATGTGTTATTGTGCGCATACTCATGTACTTTGGTCGGCTGAAGGGTAAAGTCCGGAAGATGGAGACTCCTTATAAGTTGACAAGAAACCTTGTTACGACTCGCCTGCGCTGTGTGCAGTGCATTTGCCACGGACAACGGTGGCATGGACGAGTCTGCGAGCGAAACTGAGGCGCTGTGCACCGATAGAGCGCGCTGCGGTTCATTCTCTCCACCGAGTGGGAATTTTGGAGCCGGCCTGTGCGGCACAGGCGATGGCGCCGGCTACCACCCTCTGCTCCTGGACGCCGTCGATTCCGCTTTTCCCGCCGTGTCTTGAAGCATCCTCGAGCCCGCGTTCGCGCATTGTAGTCGGCAGGAGGATCGGCGAGCCCACAGCCTTGTGGATACAGGCCACGCGCAAACGCTCGCAGAGCGCCCGAACGGGGACGAGGCGCCGCGGTGCGTGGTTGAACCTTCGCGTCGCGTGTGCGGCCATAACGAGCTCGCCTGGGAGGGCCGACGGCTTTGCCCTCGTCCCCCCCTCCCACTTCCTCCGGTCGTCCGCAAGTACTCACGCCTCCGCGCCCGAGCTCTCGCCTGCTGCGCCCCACCGTTGCGTCACATTGTCCATTTCGATTCTCCGGACACTCGCCCGTGTGGCGCCCCCTGCCAAAACACTCCCCACGGCCCCATTCCTCGCGAGCCATGCCTCCTCCTCCGCGCCGTGTCCCTCCTCCCAACCAGATGTATGCCGCCGTCCCCCAGAGCCCTAGTGGCGGGCGAGCCCACCAGCAGCCCATCCACGTCCCCCCCGCGCCCTCCAGCCAGGCCTCGTCCCGCCCTCCGAACATGGCCCCCCGGAACGACACCGCCCACGGAGTTGCGACCGCGCAGATCGGTGGAGGTTATGGCCCGTACTCGGTGCGTCCGACCCTGCACGTCGACTCCCGCCCGCGCTGACCCATCGCAGTATGACCCCCACTTGACGAACGGCAGGCAGATGTACGGCAACTCGCGGTTCAGCAACGCCCCTTCGGAGTCGTCGCTCGGCACGACTAACGAAAAAGTGACCACAGCGAGCGCGGCGCCGCTGGCTGCGACGACTGCGACGGTGCAGCAGTACCCATACATATGGGACACCCGGGATGCCGACCTCGACGACCCCCTCCACAACCCCGATCCTGTGCGCGACGCCGCCCTCGACCGCAGCTGTGCCCCGTTCTCGTCCCGAGGGTGGATAAATGCGTCCGCTCTCTTCATCATCTGCGCAGGCATCATCACTCTCTTTGCTGGCTACCCCATCATCGACCACTTTATCCACGAGCCCCCCAAGACGGCGGGGTTCAACCTTGGTGGTATCAACGGCACCGGTCAGGTTCCCGCCCTCAACAACTTCCGCTCTTTGATCGACACCGATACTCCCGACTCTGCCAAGACAAGGAAAGGGACGGACGGCAAGAGCTACAACCTCGTCTTCTCCGACGAGTTCAATACCGACGGGCGCTCCTTCTATCCTGGAGACGACCCCTTCTGGGAGGCGGTCGATCTCTACTACTGGCCCACGGTAGACCTTGAATGGTATGACCCGCGGCAGATTACAACGAAGAATGGCAAGCTCGTTATTACGATGGAGGAGGTCCTCAATCACAACCTCAACTTCCGCAGCGGGATGCTTCAAGGATGGAACAAGTTCTGCTTCACCACCGGCTATATCGAGGTCAGCGTCAGTATGCCCGGCTCTCCGAGAGCGGCCGGTCTTTGGCCCGCAGCGTGGACGATGGGCAACCTTGTGAGTCATGCGTTCTTTCATTCGGCGCGCACGCCGCCCCGATCGCCTCGTGTTCACCCTTGTCTTCTGAAGGGCCGCGCAGGTTATGGGGCCACGACTGAGGGCACCTGGCCATACAGCTACGACTCGTGCGACCTCGGCACGTTCCCGAACCAGACGACGGCTAACGGACAACCTGCCGTCGCTGCCACGGGAGGCACGGGCGGCGCGCCACTCAGTTTTATGCCCGGTCAGAAGCTGTCGGCATGCACGTGTCCAGGCTCCGACCATCCGGGACCGTCGGTGGGCACTGGCCGAGGCGTGCCCGAGATCGACATCTTCGAGACCCAGATCGACACCGTACGGTTCCAAGGAGAGGCGTCGCAGAGTTTCCAAGTC